TTATCTACGTTGTTGTCTAGTCCACTGATTATTCTAGTTACACTGGCTTCGTTGGCTTGTATTTCAGTTGCAACATTGTCTTTTCCCAGCCCTTCCTTATCTGATGTCTTTTTCTTCCTTTGCTGATGGTCATTCCAGTTGATTTTTTGTCGATTTCTCTGACTTTTATTCCGTGAAGCTTCATTTTAGTTTTTTTTTCTTCCCAAGATAAATTGTCCCTCCATCTTGAGGGGGGAGTATTCGAGATATAGATAATATTTTATTTTAGTTTATTGTGTTTGTTATTTTTCTTTAGAGTGAGTTGTAGAGTTGTTATAACCCCCACACGTTTATTTTGTATGTTATTTTTCTTTAGTTTATTATGTCTGTTATTTTTCTTTAGAGTGAGTTGTAGAGTTATTATAACCTCCACTCGTTTATTTTGATGTTATGTTTCTTAATCTTTCTTGTTCAAGCTTGTTGCTTATGATCTATGCACTCCAGCTTGAGGGGGAGTGTTGGAAAAATATCTTTAGGATATCTTTATTATTTGTAAAGATCTATTTCTTTATTTCATTAGGATTTAGGTTAGGTCTGAGTTAAGTCAATTAGTATTTCTTTATATATTGTACTCTCCTGAATCAATTCAATATACAAATTTATTTCAATATTTCTATCATCTCTTATTATTTTATAGACACAATCAATATGCGAATTAAACCCAAGTCTCAAAGTGTATTATCCATTTACACACTCACCGTCGGGCCACGCATGGCAGTTTCCATCCATAATTTAACTTAAAAACTCGATTTAAATGACAAAATTAATTCACTGCACATGACGGGATACGACTATGGCAACATGAAACCGCACTTCAGCCATAAAACCAAATAAACCTTTGATTCACTTGTGGTTACTTATTCAAATGTAAACACTGCAATGTTTCAAAGAATTGACAATGCAACTGTGAAATTCCAACCGTCAATAACAAAACTAAAAGCAATTGAACAATTAAGAGGCTTCAAAACTTATCTATTCATTTATTCAGGGAAGCCATATGTATAAAGGAATCGATTCAGAATTCTAAATTTTCCATTTGAATCGATGCAACAATTTGGTTCGTCCATGAAGAAGTCAGTTCAAAGGATTTTGTTTTATTTTTCAAAAGGAAAAAACAAAAATTAACCAATTCAACGGAAATACACAAACGGTCAATTTTTTATTTTTTATGAAAAAAGTTATACTTACTAATTTTTTTTTTCAAATCTTAACGGTTGATTTTCGTCAATCTAACAGTTATATTTTATTGGAAATTAATAATTAATTTATAAGTGTGATCAATAAATTATTACTGTTAGATTGATATAAATCAACGATTAAAATTTAATAAGAAGAGGTAGTAAGAAAAAAATAATAAATATAATCTCCCTCTTTTATATATATATAGTTTATTAAAAAAAAAACTTGAATCAATCATCAAACAATGAAGCCATGGTATGAAATCATAAAGTACGGTCTTGGATGCATTATAATGATGCTTCAATTCAAGAACGTCAAATGCAATGCCAAAATCAAGTTATCATTACAACATCACGCACAGTACAAATGCAAAATGTTGCAATATGAAAAGTCGCACACCGTAGTTGCATCAATAATACTTCCATTTTTCAAACTTTATGCACGCAATTCCACACATCAATTGGTCAAAAGTTTCACATGAATGAAAGTCATGTAACAAGAGAGAAGTCTTCCATGACAGACAAGACAAAATCGATTTTCACATGAAATCATTTTTCGTTTAAAAAAATAGATTTTCTAAAGAGTAGATTTCTACAGTCACAAATTAATATTCACATAATATTGTCTTAATATTGTTATCCAATATAATGTTAAAATCATTAAGAGATGATAATTTGTATTAGAGAAATAATTTCAATAATATTTACACTTCCATGAAATAAACACAAGAAATCAAAACATGCAATAATACAGAGTTAAAATGTATCATACAAAAATATATGAATGCAACAAAAAAAAATTTGAGTTTAGTGTTAAACATTATGTTCTTAAGACAATATTGCCCTCTCTATAATGCCCATTCATAGACAATTGTCTCCTATGATAAAATGAATTACCTCTATTCTTGTGGGGGCATTTCTACATTGAATAGTCTCATTGAACTCAATTTATGCCTGATCAATCGCAATACAGTAGAAGAATGCAAATGCAATGCAAAAACTCTTTAAAAATCCTGATTCTCTCTCTCTCTCTCTCTCTCTCTATATATATATATATATATATATATATATATATATATATATATATATATATAAAACGTAAGGTCACGATTCAAAAGGCACATATTCGTCGACGAAACAACACATTCTTTCGATGACGAAAAGACACAACTTTTCAAATCAAACTTCTTATTTATAAACATAATTAATTTAAAATTAGTTCCAACAATTTTTTTTTAACAGAGTTTCGGTATAGGAGAGAAATCAGAAAGTTTCTATTTATTCTGATTCCTTTCCTTATTTATAAACCATGACTAGTCATGATGAATGGTGCCTATTGGCGATGAAGAGTTGTGCTTGTTCAGCAGTGAAAAGTTATGTTTGCTCGCCCGTGAAAAGTCATGTCTGTTTGACAGTAAAAAGACAAATCTCTTCACACCCAATTTTTTATTCATAATATTTGAATTCTATAAGAATTCCAACAATCCCCCGCATGAATAAGAAGTTCACTCATCGTGACTAAATGCATATGAGACTCAAAAGCAATGTGCGATTAACCAATAAGGAACAACTGCATCGGGGGTTCGGTGGACGCAATGACTTGTAAACGACCCTAGTGAGACTTATCAGATTTACTCAGGCATTCGGTGGATGCGATGCCTCGTAACTGTCGATCTTGTGTGTAAACCAAGACAATAAGAAACACACAATTGTTCCTTGAACATGGTTGGTCCTCTATTTGTGTCCATTTTGGCCGCTGACACCCATTGGTTCTGCTAGTGAGATAGAAAATACGACCTTGTAATATTCTCATAGAAGCGGCCATCACTTCACACCTACATAGGTGATTTCTAGTTGTGCATCTCAACATACATCGTCTGAACATATCAAAATCAGACATCATTAAAAGCCCACATGCTTACCCTTTACTTATGCACTGCCTTGTCTAGGAATGAGTATGAGTTTTGAAAAATTTCACAGTGCATGTCTGTCAATCATCACTTGGTTTTCTCTTCGAATCTAGTCGTGGGATCTCCACTCTTCTAGGTAGAATGCCTGCAATGATCAATATTTTAATGGCCTTAAATCCATTTCTTTCGACAAATTATTCATTAACTCTCTAGTTACACTTTTTTAGTTAATGGATCAGTAATAATATCACTAAAGAATAATTGCCTCACGATATCATGTCTCCAATATATATATTGAGACTTACCATCATACAAAACACTTTTATGTACAATTTTAAGATCTCGCTAAGACATGTGTCGGGATATTACATCAGGGAAACTTCATCTCATAAACCTTTTTTATTATTTCTTCATCAATTATTTAATTGATTCAGTTCAAGTAGAGCAGGATCACAAGAAGAACAAAATTTCTCCTACCTAATATTTAACATAATTGCATATTTAGAACTCAAACTCAACATCTCCTTCCTAATATTTAACATAATTGCATATTTAAAACTCAAACTCAAGATCAGATGAAAAAGAATATAATTTCTTATTTGTAAAGTGGAATACTAAACTGCTCCATCATTTCTTATTTGTAAAGTGGAATACTAAACTGCTCCATCATTGTATTCAAATGAAACTCAATGGAATTCATTAATCAGTATGACTACATTCACTATTCAATTGCAAATATCTTGAAAATGGTAAACGTAGTTTTAAATTGTGGTGGGGGTCGCAAAGAACATGTACCACTAACATTGGATAAAGACAGCCTTACCTCTCAAACTTTTGCTAAAAGATTAAAATATTTTTTTAATCCAAATCAAATTAATTTGGTTCGAGTATTTTCGGATTTTTGTCATCCTTGTTCATTGAAGCAATTGTTGTTGGTTTTAAAAGAAATACTAAACTACTCCATCATGATAGTTCTCGAACCAAATGAAACTCGGTGCAATATATTATAACTGCATCATGGCGAACAGGGCTTATTAGACATTAATACGGGATATGATATAACACTTTAATATATTTTTAAAAAATATTAGATTTTAATATGTTAAAACACATTTTAATATTAAATAATATTTTTAATTTATATAAAAATATATTATATTTAATATTCAATAATTTAAGAAAAAATAAAACTAAATTTATACTACCATTAATTTTATAAAAAAATATAAAATATCAAAAATATTTATATTAAATTTAATAAAAAAATAATATAGAATCTAACAATTAAAACTAACGACACAATCTTTGAATTCTTTTTTAAGATTGTACAACACAGATTATATCTGAATTATGCTAACAGGATTTTAAATTGCGATCGCGATTGCAATCATAGTTACGTTCGGGCTGATGTGACAGATGCGGTGGTCGCATAATATCACTTTCCTTGTAGTTGTAGTTGCAAAAATTCTGATTTCTATCCTCTTTCTAGAAAACTTAGGTCAATGAGTCAAGAATCAAGCATTAACAAATGTCAAAGTGCGTTTCTGATTGTTACTTTGATACCTCACGTTAGAAAACGACAAAACTATTTGGTCTTTAGCGGGCCAAACACAAGCACCTACAATACAGCATAGTTCCACTTTGGGATAAAAAATAAACAAATGGTAATAAATTAACGTAACAGCAACAAAGAATATCCCTTAAAAAGAAAAGATAGGAAAATGAGGAAAATAGAAATAAATAATATACGATATATAATAAAAGATTAGACCTCCCAATCCAATGGCGACTGATCCTTGGCAAAACTGGAGTCACCACAAAAATAAATCCCTGCTTTGCACTATCGTGTGACAGTGTCAAATGTAACACCAGAGACCATAACCGATGGTGGGAAGTGCAGTTTTCTGGATAGGACTCCACTCCATAATCTGGAGTCATACCGTACAATCTCTAGTAAACAAAATTGGGGATTCCACTACCTAAGGACATCCACTTTTTGATAAGAATAGACCTCAAAGGTATTGAGCTTGTATTCTCTCTCTGTTCTCTTCCCACCAAGTTTTTGCATTTACCTCCCCAAATCTTTCCCGGCTGCAGACATGAGTTGAGAAAGTGTTAAAACAAAACCATTCTAAAATCTTAAAAATAAATTAAAATTTTTACTCTTTAGTACACCCTTAAATACATGTTCCTTGGATCAATATCTATGTGAGGGAAAATCAATAAGGAACATGTTTTTGGAGATGCATTATAGTACGTACCTGAATCTGACACGTCGAAGCTCCCTGGTCCCATCAGCTAACTGCCTGATTGTAATGTAAACTCCAGGCTCATCTTGCTCTACCCATTCTGTTTCCATTTCACTTGCATTGCTAATAGAAGGCTCATCTCTAGAAGAGGTGGTTGCCCTTGATGGTTCCATGGACGGCCCTGCATGGAAGTTGTGGCCACCACCATGATCCAACGTTTCAGATGGGTTGTATCCTCTGTTCACAGAAGGTTTATAGTGACTCCTCGGTGTCCAATCCTTGTTTGAGGCCATGGGGCTTTCTTGTGCAGATGTCAATCTTGAGTAAGAAGAATCTCTTTGCTGTTCAAACAATATAGTGTAGACAGATGAATCTTGAATCCAACATAGTTTTGTGAATAAAAAACAAAAGAGTTGTGTTCTTACCATATATTAGATAATATATTTATACATAGTAACTACGGAGATTTGGAAAACACAAACATTGGTGGCAAAAGTGTAGATGATTACCTCATCCTCAGATCTTGAAGGAGTGTTAAGAGCTTGTCGATTAAATCTCTGGACGTTATAAAGTTCCATGATTCTGTCGTAATTCTCACCCCACCATCGTTGAGCTTGCCATTTATTGAACATCTCTCGGCTTCAAATTCAAATGCTAAGTATTGTCAGTCTTTGCTCCTACAGGATAATTAAGTTTTCAACAACTAAAAATCCCATATATTTTGTGTAATATTAAGGCCTATGGCACACATTCTTTCATAACTTAATATTTCAGCTAATAACTTCGGATACAAGAAGTGCAGGGCCAAGCAAGCGAAGCACAGTTAGGCCAGTGATTAAGGACCAATTTAGTCTCGGTAGGTTTATTATTAGGTTGATCATCATAAAAATTTTGGGTTAAAAAAAAAAAAAATTCAAATGAACTAAACTAAATTGTGAACTGATCTAAACCGCACCAACCGAACTATATTTTTTTGAAACAATTCAAGAATTCAAACTGGTTAAAGAACCAAACAGTTTGTTCAAGATTGGTAAACTCGGTTTGGTTTTTAAACCGTACCATTTTAACTATTCGGTTAAATTTGGGGTGAAATCTAAACCACACCCACCCTTAGGAATATGAAAAAACCAAATAAATTGTACTAAATGACAAACCAAATCGAATGGCATCATATTTTCTCTAAACCGATTCAAGAACCAAACCACTTTTAAAAATCGGTTTGGTTTGCCCGAGCCAAACCACGTGCACACCCCTAATAAAAATCTACACTTTAGGAAAACATTTTAGCATTAAAGTAGTAACAAAAATCAGAGGTCAATTATTAGTTGTAATATACCTGAAGCGAATTCTTTTGAGATCATTTCCCCCATTAGGAAGAGACACGAAGGTAATGTGAACCCCTGGCTCTACCTGTGCCATCCACTCCTTAGGCTCATCCTCATCCTCTAACACTACATCACAGACTGATGCTGAGTCACGTCCTCTAGGGGTGCGGTCACCAGTGAATCTTGGGTCAGATCTACCACCAGGGTAGTTAGAGGTTGTGAAGTCCCATGCAGGGGTTGAACTTGAGCTTGCACCTCCAATATAAGGGTAGGGAACCCCTTCTGAGATGGTATCAAAATCTGGATATGGTCTATGTCCTTTCTTGTAGCTACTGGACCCTGTGCAGGGTTTGCATTGCTTGTAAGCACCTGAAAACTTCAGTGCCATATCCTTTATCTGCATATAAAGAATAATGGAAGCTTTAATAATTTAATTTTAATTTTAAAGCACAGAAAAAATAAATGAGCTTTAATTATTAATTAAAAAGATCTTTCTCACACGTCAACTAATAAGTTCTTTTATCGCAAGACACATGAGCAATCAGAAAGTTGTAATAGAAATAACTGCAATAAAACTACTCCATGACAACTAGAATAATTATTAATTTAAAAACAAATCTTATCTATTTATATTCAACACTCTCAGTTGAACACGTGAATTAGTAAGTTCTTTTTATCGTAAGACCCCAACAACAAAAAATTTAGGCGTGACACGAGCAATCAATCAGAAATTCTAATAGAAATTTAGAACTATATCTTAAATTTTATTTCTAAAAAAGGTGTACCGTATATTTGGTAAATACCCACCACAAGTTAAATATTTTGAATAATTTAGATATCCACATCGAATATTGACAGACCGTAACAGCAGAGGTGTGCTTGTCAAATGGCACACGAGGAAGGAGTCGGGGAAACCAGGTCTGTAAGTTCTGAACTATAAATTAAAATGTAAATTTGGATGACACTGAACATTGAGTCTAAGGTTTCAGGATTAGATCATTTTCGAAGAAGAATCTTTACAGCTGGACTGGTGGAAAATGTGTTTGGTTTGAGGATACAAGTGGATGACATAATCTGTGAATGTGGAAGACCATTATATGTACCTTACATATATGCTACTATCAACTCTGTTACCTTTAACGGAAAGCATTTTCTAATTGGAGAAAATCCCGTTGATTTCTAACCAGTTGTTTTTTATAAAAAAAAAATTTACTTAATAGAGACAATTGGTTTAAATTAGTTAGGATAGGCATGAAAAGTGACTAGCATACAAGTCTATATTCTGTTAATTTAAGCAAGATTCCCATCTTAAAATTGCACGTAACATTGACTTAAACGGAAGAATGAAGAGCATGAAAATGAAGCATATAGAGTAATAGAGTCATGTCTAGTGGTCAAAAAGTAAATATTAAGAAATGTCAATATGTTTTACTGCCATTAAAACAACCCAGGGCAGGCCATCATTTATTTAAATTTTCGCTTTTTTATTTGCATTGTTAATAATAGGAAACTTTTGAAAAACATTGGATCGACAAGAATTCAAGGATGGGCCACAATAAGGATAAGCATATGGCAGACCCTTCTATTATAGGAATCTTTTCTCAACATCAACTCAACTGCACAAATATGGAACATGTTCCCACTGCTGCTGTTCTCATTACGCATTAGAATATTTGACCAAGAGGTTTACCTTTTCTTTTTCAAAATAAAAATACAGGGAAACCAAGTTAAGATGTTGGATAATTAGTGAATAAATAATCAATACTATTCACTATTAATCAATTTTTTTTTTGGAAGAAATATCTTAGGAGTTTTGCATAATTCTTTATTATATTTCTAAAATAAAAAGAAAAACTGTAAACACACTAATCTAAAAGATTTATTTGTTAATTGCTAAAATCTAGCATGTTAGACTATAGAAAGTAACGAAACATCAAATGAATTGTGTGAATTTTGTTGATATTTGCATGTTTATAAATTCTGAATCAGAGCACCTTGCTCTGCTCATGTCCGGTTATAAGTGGCTAAAGGGAACCACTACTCGACCAAGTTGGCTCCATAACTCTACAGATACTAAGCCACTAGAAAAGACTTGATTGGTTGATCACGAACCATTATGGTGACCTCAAGTCAGCAAAATGGCACCACCACGTGGTCTTAAATAAAAAAGTAAATTGACCGATACATACTATATGCTAGGGAGCATACCACTACGCGCCAACACTAAAAGGGTCCAAAGCAGAACAGAACAAAACAAAACAAGTCTGCGTCATCCAAAATTAAGCAAGTGTCTATTACCACTAAGTTCAATTTTTATTTAAAATATTCTCTTTACTCTTTATTAATCAAACTATTAGTTTAAAAAGTTTATATAAAAATTAATTGAATAGTAATAATGTTTATAGACACATTAAAATGAAAATGAAATTCTCCAAAACCAAATAACTCCGCAATATATATACATATATATATAAATAAAGAAAGTTATACTTACAATCTTTTTTTTTTTCAATCTCTTACAATCATATATCATAACCGTTGATTTCCGCCAATCAACGGTTGTCATTTATTATGAATTAATAATTAATTAATGAATTTAATTTGCGAAAATCATAACCATTGATTGACGGAAATCACCGGTTATGATTTATGATGGTAAGATATTGTAAAAAAAAAAGTTTAACTATAACCTCTGGCTGTATGTATATGTATATATATATATATATTATTTCAAGGGTGGTCCCCCATCATATCAGTGTGCCCAAATAAGGTTAAGATTTTGTATTTTCAACCGAGGTGGAAAAAGAAGCTGGACAAGCAAAGATTGTAGGTGAAGAAAGAGAGTGGGATTAAGAACCTGCGTGGTCAGGCTTTTGACGGCTTCTTTTGTACTCGGCGTGCCACTCTCACGGGCTCGTTCATCTTCGTCCCTCTCGTCCTCTGTTTGCTTCGTACACGCTATGCAAGTAAACATCTTTTCTTTATTCCGTGTACCTTTTTTGTTCCTGCACAACAACAAAACAAATCAAGCATACACTTATGGATAAATAAATTTCAGCGAAAGAAAGAAAGTTTTAAAAATAATATTTTTAAATTGAGCTCTTGGAATGAAGATCCACGTGGGATATGACATGGCATTGGTAATAGGTGAGAAAATAAAAGAAAAAGCAGTCAAGGACAAAATTGGTAATCACTTTCATTGGATGAAACAGTGAGAGAAGGAATGACTATTTGTGTCAAGCAATGCAACAGCTAACAAGATACCAATAGTTAGGTTGCAAGGAAAGAACCAAATTAAAATAACACCCAAATGCACCAACAAGTCATAATGCAAATTTTTAAAAAAAAAAATAACAAAAGAAATGGAATTTCTAGTTTTGCTAGTCTAATAATAATATCTTTCGTGGGGAAACAAAATGGTTGGCCCTAAGGACCAAAAGAGATAAAGGAAAAGCAATCTTGAACGAGACTCGGGATCAGAGCAAGATGGAAAGCATCTCAAAAGAAGGAAGAAAAAAATGGGTCAGCAATTAAAAGCAGAGAAAGAAACAAAATGGGGTAAGGAAACAAGTACTATTTGCTTTGCTTTAGCGTACACAAATTCGAAAAATAAAAGGAACCAAAGCGTGTCCAAGCCGAAGTTTCAGACACCATCCTTTCTTTATATTAACCCCAAAAATACAAAAAACAAAGCCAATTAAAAAATCCTGATATATTCCACCAATTCTCTCTCTTTATCTTTTGGGCAAATCACATCAATCCCCGTTCTCCAAGATACACCCGAAAACCAAAGGCGACTCACTGACATGGAGAGAGAAACTGTGCTTAGTTATGGGGTAAGTGTTTTTGGGATTGAGAGAAAATAAAAATAATAAAAAATAAAAAGACCATATGGGTTTGATTTTGAATGAGGAATAAATATTTGTCGGAAGGTGAAAGGGGTGCGAGGAGGGGCAAAGAGACATGGTATGTAAGAATGAAAGAGAATCAAGGAAAGGAAGAAGAAGAAAAAACAGGGAATTGTGCATTGATTGATATATAATTTAGCTTTACTGTAAAGTAGAATTAAAGAGACATTACTATTCGAAAACGACTTACCAAGCAAACCTCAACTGCTTCTCCTTCTTTTGTCTCTCTGAGCCCTCTCACCACTTAACACTATCACGCCCAACACCCAACACCCAACACAAACACACAAAAAATAAAAAAATAAATAAAAAAATAAAAAACAAAACAAAAAACTCAGCGATGTGTTAACCTCATCATCATGTACAAGTCTACAACACAAGCACACGTTGATGTCTGGTCATCGTTTTCAAATGCGTGTGGGGTTAAGTAAAATGCGTTTGCTATAATATCAAATAAAAGTAAATGCGGAACGTTTTGGGATCCGAATCGTATTTTAATCCCAATCAAACCAAAATGGTAAAAATTACAGCTAATACAGCAATTTGTCTTGGGACAAAGCTAAAAGAATAATATAAAAAAAAAACAGAATAAAACATAAAAAAACAAAACAAGACAAAGATTCAAAGACTTACCTTATATATGAACTCCTCCTCCTGAGTGAAACGACCCAAACAGAAAACAAATCAAACAACGACGGATTTTCACTCTATTTTTTTTTTTTTTTTCGATCTTTGTTTTAGCTTTTCATTTTTCCATCTCCAAACATAGCAGTATTATCACAGACCAAACAAATCGCATTCACGATCGAAAACCGCACAAGTACCTTCGTCAACGTGATTGAGCTCAGCTTTGAACTTTGAAGTCGAATCACTGGTAGAAGGGGACAATGAGCGAATGCCGGCAATAAATCGGCGCCGATATTTTGACGAAAAAACCGGGGGGGAAATCGGGTACGATGTAACGGGTGCGTGTCCGAAAATTCGTAAGATTTGAGGAGAGGGAAGGCAAGGACTGAGGTTGCCGTATTTATATGGAGGGTGAGGGGTTGACGGCGTGAGTGTGAGGCGTTACTTTGGACGGAAAATGTTTCGCGTGGGAAGAGAAGACGTTATGAGGAATTTGGTTTTTGTCTTTTTTACAGTGGAAGCAAATGGTCGATAACGCAGAGGACATTAGGGTCCACATGTCTAGGTCGATGCAACGCAAGACTGGAGGATCTCTAACGTGCGTACGAAGTAGAGTACGTGGCATATTTTGATTGGTGGTGATGTAAATGGGAGGTAAAGGAGTGGGTGGGATTTGCTCCTATTCTATGACTGGTTTTGGGAACTATCTCGTCCAGGCTTTCATGTCCTCTGTTAAATCTTAATGATACCAGTAAAATTGGACTACTCAAAATCATAATTGAGAACTTTCACAAATAATCGAAATTAGCAATTAAGGTAATGATAGGATGATTTTACACAGGTATATTTTTAATTTTAATGTTATTTTGTATATAACGATTCTGATTTATTAGATATGTGAGCGTTGTATATAAATATGATCATTTGTTTACATATAACATGCTCCACACATACATATATATATATATATATATATATATATAGGAGCAGGATCATTTGACATCGGTGTCAAATTTTAAAATTTGACATCAAATTTTAACCATTAATTTTCGTCAATCAACAATTATCATTTATTAGGAATCAAACTTATTAATTAATTATTAATTCTCAACAAATAATAATCGTTGATTGACGGAAATCAATGGTTAGAATTTAGTGTCAAATTTCAAAGTTGGACATCAGTGTCAAAGAATCCTATCCCTATATATCAACGATTGTTATTTATTGAGAATTAATAATTAATTAATAAGTTTGATTCCTAATAAATGATAACCATTAATTGACAGAAATTAACGATTATGATTTGGTGTCAAATTTTAAAGCTTGACACCAGTGTCAAAGAATCTTGCCATACACACATATATTTCGATTATTTTATAAAAAAATTATTTCAAAAATTATGTTTTATTTAGAAGTCTGATTCTTATTCTATATTTTGTTCTAATTACTAAGTATAGGATATATGAGAAGATAATTTTAGGGAAATTGAATAATTTAAAGTTGCCAAATACCCAAATCAAGCAAAAGGGTGAGAACGAAAATACGCACCTGAAAATAAAATATATGTACACATAAAGAAACTAAAAGACAGTGTTTTAAAATTCGGATCGGATTAACCTGGTCAAGCAATTTTTTTTACAAAAGTGCTAGGCTACCCTCAATTATTGGTCAAAATGCATTTTATAATATATTTATTATATAATTTAATATATAATTTATTAAATCGATTAAATCAGTGACCCACCAGTTGAACCAATGACCCAATGATCCAATATCTCGACCGAGTCGATGACCGGGTCGAGTTTTAAACCACTACCAAAAGATGTGGTGGGAGAAATTAAGAAGGTGATAAGAGAGGAAATGCACAAAGGAGAAGGGGGGATATTGTTAGAAGGGGAAAGAAACGCAACAAAAAAGAGAGAAAAAGAAAGACATACATAGAAGTACGCAATAATCGATGTATTATTGTCTCTTATTTATTTTGTTTGTCCATGTTACAGCTATAAAATGACTCCCCCACCCTATTAGGCCCCTAGTCAATGTGAGTAGGGGTGTCCGCGGTCTGGATTGGATCGATTTTGGAAGCAAAAATCATCTGATTCAATCCCTTCAGTTTGATCATGTAATCATCCATTCGGTTTGGATTATTTTTCAAATCCAATCCGATCTGATCCAATTTTTTTCGGTTTGGATTGGATCGTTTTCGATTTTTTTGAAAATCCTAAAATTTGATTCATGATTATTGTGCAAATAACATCTTTTGTATATATTGGCTTTGTAATTTTTATTTTTATTTTTGAAATGCAAAAGCATTAGGAAACGATAATATAGTTTTTTTTTACAATGAGATATGAAGCTCTTCATAGATGAAATTTTGTTGATAAAATGTGACTAAGTTTTTTCTTGAGTTTAGTTGATGGGTTAATAGGTCTTAGGTTTAGAAATTTTTGGGTTATGATTGGAGAAAAATTTAAGTAGATAGAGGGAAATTAATATATTGGATCGGTTTGGATTGGATCGATTTTCTTCAACCAATCCGAAATCCAATCCAATCCAATTAAAATTTGCGATTTTTTTTCGGTTTTCGGTTTTTTGGTTTTCAGTTTATTCGGTTATCAATTTTTCGGTTCGGTCACCGCGATTCGAATCGGTTTGGATTGGTTGATGAACACCCCTAAATGTGAGTTAGGACCCAAAAGGCTATAAGGTCAAATGTATCACAATAATAAAGACTCACACGGGCTAAAAGTCGTATGGTTTAGGACCATCCCCTAGTTCATTGATAGAGCCTTGTGGCTCTGAGAAATAAGAAAGAGATTGAAATTTGAGTTTGTTATTCGATATTTGTGAAAAGTTACAACAACCCTCTTTCATACACTTTGAAATAGCTTCCACGTCAGCTATCTAACCTAACAAACCAGTATACTTCCTAACATACCATTCGTGTACCTTACATGTAACACCCCATGTATACCCGGTTTGTTAACATGCCATCGTATTAAGCCACGCTTAATTAAAAATGCGGAATATCTTTTTCTTTTCAATTATGACGTCATTATCATTACCAAGTTGAATTACTTAATTCATTTCCAAAACATTGCCTGTATGTAAATGCAAAGACAAATATTTATACTGAATAACCTCATATCATAAATAAGATCATTAACTGAGTCTCTAGTCACGGTATTACAACACGTAAGCCGGACAACCCTGATAGTTTATACAACTCAAATCTAAGCAATGATACATAAACAAATGTGGCATGGACAATCCCCATGCTCACCAAATAAGGCTGCAAGGCCCAACAACAGTCTCAACTCAATAACATAACATGAAACTAAAGTACAATAGCAACTAGCAAAATCCAATATCCAACATAAGCAGCAAAACAACATATAAATCAGCTAAGCTCCGGCCTCCTGCCGCTAGAGGTCTCAACCCCCGCATTACCTGAACCTGAAATATGTGCCCCAAACGTGGGATGAGATCTCTAAACAGAAATCTCAATAAGACAAGGGGTCCTTAAGGATCTTCCACCCCAAACTCACTTACATGTGCAATATAAGTTCTAAAAGCAGTAATTCAATATTAGTTCCAAAACCAGTGCAATGTAGCAGATAATCATGACATGTCTGTTATAACTATTCTACTGATCAGAGAAATGCAGGAATACGTCTATTACCCACATCAGTACAGGCCCATGTTGTACCTGCCCACAAGATCACAGCCCGTCTAGGCGAACACCACATACATATCATAAGGCATTTGCACTTAACAACTCAATAGCATTTCAATAAAGCAATACATGGAAACACATCATGCATATAACCATCCCCCCATTGGACATGGTGGAACAAACAATGGCTAAACCGAGGACACGAAAGCTTACCTTGCAAGCTAGCTATCCAAGCCAAGAGTCCACACAAGCACAAAGCCCAAACACAGCAGAATCACAATCTTTTTTGGACCAACAATCATATCAATAATCATACTCAACAAGCATATGACACAAAGACAACGCCTTTCCTTTACGTTTCGTGTCTTTAGGCTCCTTACAAAGCCATAAACCCTTAATCACTTAGATTCTGACTTAAGTTAATTAATACAGAAGTCCTCATTGACTAAACATGGGTCCACAAACCCAAAAAGCATTCTGTATGAACAGTGCCACTACTGTTCTTCGAAAACCCAGAATATCCGGATATATGTCGGGGGCATATCCGAATATCAATATCCGGATATGCATATCCGGATATCACAGACCCCATATCCGGATACCAATATCCTGATATCAATATCCAGATATCCATTTCAGGATATCAATATCCGGATATTTCGCGACAGAATGCAGTTTCTGCATTTCGCGAGATATCACTTCCAAGGTTGGGTTTTTAACCCATTACTACGTCCAAGCATGCATTTTTACTCTCTTTTAAGTTCATATACAGGTTGGTTACTTGTTTAACTTATTAAACATGCAAAGACTCCACTTTTACTCAAAGAAACTCATGATCAAAGGTTGCACAACTTACCCAAGGCTCAAAACAGAGCAAAGGATGCTCTTGGAGCTCACCAAGAGCTCCTCAAGTCTGACTTCACAAGGTGCACGAAAATGGCACACAAGACTTGGTTTTTCTTCACAAAAATAATCACTTGGAGCTTCTACAACCAAGGAATGGCTCCAACAACTCAAGACAAGTAAACTCAGCCCTCCCCTCACCAAAATAGTGGCTGGAGAACAGCCATGGGGTACTCCTCTCCTTCACAAAGCTAACCCACACCCAACCAAGTGTTTAGATGAAGAAATGGTGAGGACTTGGGAAGTTTTCAAGCAAGGTGGCCAAGGGAGAAGGTGGCAGCAGCTGACCCTTCAGCAAACTCACGAAGGAGGCACAAAATAAACCTAGGATCATGCGCCATGGCTATTTATAGGTCACTCAAGTCTTAATCGCACTCTATTAGCGCTAATTGCTATGCTTAGAAATTTAATCACATCTTAGGATTCTGATCCTACTCATTTTTCTAAGATTTATCATATTTTTATTTTATTTTTCGCAGCACCTTTCAGGTACGCGCTTTTCCATAGCCAGTATCAGTTCTGGCACCAGTTCTTATTATTTTGACTTGAAGCTTGTCATACTAGTCCTCCATAATATTCTAGTGACATACACACACTTTTCATAATTTTTCGGGATACTTCACCGGTACGCATTTATACCGAGTAGCAGAACCGATACCTGCGCTTTTCGTCAGAAAAGCGACTTTCAGCATTATTAATCACTTACCAATATTATTTAAG